TCAAGATGCTGGCCCATCTGAGACAGTTCTTGGGCCCAGGCATTGCAGGGGGTGGACAGCATGGCACAGAGACCTGGGCAGAAGGCCTGCCCTTCGACTCTTACCAGCCCCTGCCCCAGCCCGAGCAGCTCTTCCAAAGGACTTCTGGCTCTGCCGGCCTGGGCGGTGGCACAGCGCCTGGCTGGCTGGCTGTTGGCAAGGGAGGTGAGCAACTGAGGGGGAGGACACCAGGCAACTGAGGGTGGCCTTGGGAAGTGGGAAACCGGTCAGCAGCTGCTAGCGCGTGGCTCTAATTCAATTACAACAACGGGGAAGGCTGTGAGCCGCAGAGAGGGGGGCCCATGGGCAAGAAAGCAGGCCCATTCAGCCGCCCAGCCACAGTCCTGGTGCAGAGGAGTGAAATGGTGCCTAATTAGGCACCAGGAGTGCTGAGCCGAGGCCCCGGGCTGGCACTGATCCAGCGGGCATCCCTGCCAGGCCTGGAGCAGCATGTCGGCAAAGCAGACCCTGCTGACCCTCTGTGGGGAGCAGTGAGGACCAGCCTGCAGGCCCAGCGGTGAGGGGCTAAGCATGGTGCAGAGACTAAGGGGAGACCAGCGAGGGTCGGAGTTGGCCCCCAGGACATGCCCATTGCAGTACTAAGTCATGGGCACTGGGTCCAAGTCTCCTCCAGGGACACGAGTGTGGAAGTGTGTTCCATGGAGAAGAGAAGGGAGTCTGTGGTATTGTGGCACAGGTGGCTGCCAGCGTTGGGTCATTTTTAATGGACTGTCTCTATTATTTTTTTTTAAATAGGAATGCACATAGTAAAAAGAAAATCCCAAATAGTATAAGAGGATTTAAAGTGAAAAGCAAGCCTGCCTTCACAGAGGCAGCCTTGTTAATTAAACTGGTTTTCTGTGTCTCCTCCCAGAAAAATTGTCTTTTACACACAAGGGAGCATGTTTTAAGCACCACACCTTGCTAAATTCTGGAAATTATTTTATCCTGGAGGCCCGATGCATGAAATTCGTGCAAGAGTAGGCCTTCCTTCCCCCACCTGACAGCACCGGCTTCACTCCAGGACCTGGGACCCGGGCTTCCCTAGCAGCCCCAGCTTTCGGCACCGGCTTCCCTAGCAGCCCCAGCTTCGTCCCGAAGGTCAGAAGGTTGTCCAGAAGGACATCCGGTCTAATTAGCATATTATACTTTTATTATTATAGGTAACAATTTACCATATGATGCTGTGGGTTTGTTATAAAAAGGGCCTGACATTCTAGCTGTTTTGCTAGTGGCGGTGAAGGACAGCAGTGAAGGTGGCTAGAGGACAACTCCTTGGGGTGCTGGTGTTTCGTTTCGAAACTACCGTGTCTTCTCATCTGTCAAGTGACTGACCGGGCATGGCATTGTTAATTTTTATAGATATTGCCAAGTTCCTATCCCACCTATGATTAAAAATACCTGCTCTCCCATAACCTTGCAAATGTTCCTTTAATTATGAATGAGGCTGAATATCATTTTTCAGTTGGGAGTGGCATTAGTTTAAATTCCAGAATCCAGGCAGAAGGTTTAACCGCCTGCCCACCTCCCCAAGCAATGGTCTGGTTGGGTCCCTGCTGGGCCTGTGTGTGAGCAGCAGTATCTCGACACCCTGGGGGGCTCACCCTGAAGCAGGAGGAACCCCCTCAAAGTAACCAGCATGATGGTTTTCTTTTAAATCCAGCCAGAAGGTTTAACCGCCCCCTGCCCCGCCAAGCAATGGTCTGGTTGGGTCCCTGCTGGACCTGTGTGTGAGCAGCAGCATCTCGACACCCTGGGGGGTTCACCCTGAAGCAGGAGGAACCCCTCAAAGTAACCAGCATGATGGTTTTCTTTTTCCTTTTGGCAACATGCTCTCTGGACTGCTGTTAGCCTGCCTTTCACATGCGCAGACCTGGTGGCTGCCCAGGAGAGGTTAGGGTGAGGCCAGTGCTGTGTGGCTTGGTCTCCCACACAAAGCTACTGTGATCTCCCCGCCCCCCTCCGCTGCCAGCGCCCTCAAAGGGAGCCACTGGCCTTGCTTGCTCATTTTCATGCATTGCTTCATGAAGACTTGTGCATGTGCTACGCGAGGATCTGGGGTTGTGGAGAAGCTAACCCACTTGCTCCCAGAATTTTTAAGTGTAAGGGAGGAGAAAGACAAGCAACCAGTAGTTACAGCGTAGCATGATGCGTGCTGCCACAGGGAAAGAACAGCTTATGGAACACAAAACCCTCCAGGGAGGTCCGGGAAGGCTTCCGGCAGGAAGTGACATTGAAGCTGAGACCAGGAGAGGGGCTGCAGGTCAGGAGACACGGGAGGTGATGGTGAAGAAACCAAGAAGGTCCTCATGGCGTGTGACTGTGCCTACCAGGGGGTGGCAGGGATTTCTGGCCCAGATCTCAAGGGCTTCGTGATCCTGGCTGAGGCCTTGGGATGCCATCCTGTGGATTCTTTGGAAGGTTTTTGGTGGCCTGGTCAGACTTGAGGTTAGCTGACTTATTTGGGTAAACAAGGAAGTGTAGGGACCAGGAATCAGCTTCAAGCATCACCAGGCTTGACCAGCTCTGCACTCCAGCCCCAAATTCTGAGACAACATCCCCAGCTCACCGTTACCACTGGGCAGCCTTGTGTAGACGTGTCCCCCAGACAGTAGAGGCTTACCCAGTGTTTCCCAGGGAAGGACAACAATGGGCTGTGGGGCCCCAAATCAGGGCCACGGCTGATGATGTGGATGATGCGAGACCAGAGCTCAAGAGGGGAACCTTCTTGGTTTCGTCACCATCACCTCCCGTGTCTCCTGACCTGCAACCCTTCTCCTGGCCTCAGCTTCAATGTTCCTGGCTTTGCTGCTGATCTAGCATCAAATATCACCAAGTGGCCCTTGCCAACCACCGGGAAGGCAGTGGATGAGATGAGCTCTAGCCCACAAATTGCTTTGAGCTTCCTGGAGAAAGCCTTTTTGGTCGCTTTTTCTAACACTCGCAGCCACCGTTCTTGCCACGTACCAAGCCAGGGAAAAGGCTGAATGTGCTTCTGATATGATTGTGGCAATCCTTATTTATTGCTGTCCACGCTCATAAAATACAGTGCTTAATCGTCTTAGCAGTTGGGGTAACCAATTTGAAAATTAATTATTGCCTTCTTAGAGAGGACTTTGCCTTCTAATTAAAATCTCAAGCCGGGGATATTAAAGGTGCACTGTCAATATGATGTCCCAGATGCACCCAGCTAACCTCATTTGGGCAGGCAAAATTAATTAGTTCGTGTTTTCACGCCCAGCTGTTATCCCATGGAAAGGAACCATCTATGAGTTGGCCAGGCACACAGTCGCTAAATTGGCCGGAACGACTGAGGAGAGACATAAAGGAAGTAGAGAGTGTTTTGTCCCTGCAGAACTCAGCCGGCCTCTGTTACAAGCTGCTCGTTAGAGGGTGCCCCATGTCCCTGTCACACATCTCAGGAGTTCTTGTTTAGCTGTGGAGGCAGAACAGGAAATAAGTGGGTCCCTCCAGGCCACTGAGTTCTCGCTTCACCCCGGAGCCTCATTTGCTGTTAACACCTTTCCCAGTGAGTGATTCTGGGTGGAAAGCCTGGCACCAGGGACGAACGGCTGGGCGTTTCTATTCCTTTCTCAGCTGGCCACAGCTACAAAGCTGTGTGCACTGCTCGCTTCCTCCTTTCTCCTTTCCGACTTCTTCCCGTTTCTCAGTTCCATTGAAAAATAGAATGTTTGCTGAGCACAATAGAAGCCAGGATCATCAGTTTGGCTATGCTGTGATAGCTAACCGTAGAACTCGCATGGTTTAGCACGGCAGAAGTTAATTTCTCATTCTTGCAAAGTACCATATGTTGGCCGGGGCTCTCTTCCAACCAGTGATTCAGGGATCCAAGATTCGTCCATCTTAAGCTTACACCATCTTTACAGGAGGCTCTGAAGTCCTCTGATGCAGGAGAGAGAGAAAGCAGAGGACCTGCTTTTGATCAACATCGGCCCAGAAGGGACACATTTGTGGTCACAGCCTATTGGCCATAACTGGTCACATGACCCTGGCCCAATGACAAGGGATTCTGGGAGATGTAGGGGTACATATGGAGTATTTGCTGAGCGCTGCTCTCTCTGCCATAGAGCCTTAGCTGCACTAGACCCTTAGCCAGAAGTCCTGGAACCCCCAACACAGAGGCGTCAGGCATGGCCCCTGCTCTCGGAGATCACAGTAGAGTTTGGTGAGGGAGACCAACCCGCGCAGTAACGGATTGTCAGCTCGGGTTGATAAGCACATTGGGGAAAGCAGAAACAAAGCTTGAGATAATGATGTGGAAGTGATTAAGTCAGTTTGAGCTGGAGAGAAGCGGGTAGAACAAAGGGAACATTCCCAGGAAGACGTGATGCATGTATTTAGTTTGGGGAGAAAAAAAGAGAGAGTTCACTGAGGGGACACATGAGGGAAAGGCATAGCTACGAGGAGGGCGCATTGTATGTCTGTGTAACCTCGGACCCACCTGTTAGCTCCTTGGGTGTTTCGCCACTGATTAAATTCTCCCTCCCTTTCTCCCTCTTGACTACCACAATAGCCTGCAAGGAAATCCATTCCGAAAGCTGGCCCCTGCTAAGGCCTCACTATCACAAGATAAACAAACCACAAATCCCTAATATGGCACGTGGCCGCCGTTAGGGCTTGAATTGGCTCAGGAAATGAACAGCCACGGAGACGCACTCACACGGGGACATTGCGGGTGGCTCGCAGGTCCGTGGGTGATGACTACAGCGGCTGCAGCTAGCTCACTCCCAGCCCCGACTCTCCCAGAGCCACCACAGGGTGAGAGAGACCCAGCAAGCAGGCAAGGAGAAGCTGCCTGTCATCTGAGCTCTATGAAACTGGCTGCATGAGCTTGACTCTTCCCAGGCAAATCGCTCTGGCCTCCCCGGTGGTCCTCTTCCTGGAAAGAATCATTCCTAAACTCGGGTCTCCTTTTTTGTTTCTTTCCTCCCTTGTTTCAGATACTGGCTGACCAACAAGGTGCACATCAAAAGACCCACCACCGGCCTCCTGATGTACACCCTGGCCACGCGCTTCTGCAACCAGATCTACCTCTACGGCTTCTGGCCCTTTCCGCTGGATCAGAACCAGAACCCCGTCAAGTACCACTACTACGACAGCCTCAAGTATGGCTACACCTCCCAGGCCAGCCCCCACACCATGCCCTTGGAGTTCAAGGCCCTCAAGAGCCTGCACGAGCAGGGCGCTTTGAAACTGACTGTTGGCCAGTGCGACGGAGCTACGTAAGCAGGCGCCCGGTGGACTCAGTGGCTCACATTTCCTGCCAGCTACACCACAGGCAGATGGGAGTCGGGGTGGCACAAACTCTAGAACAAGCAGGCTAGTGGTTTTCTTTGTTAAAGTGTAAAACAGTGACCAGAATATATATATCTATACCTGCATATATATATTGACCTGAGTATTTATAACTGTGTGGTGTTCATCTAGCATTAGGCAGATAAGCCACAGGAAGAAGGTATGGAGAACCCACCAGAATGGAGACCCGGTCCATCTTTGGGGGCGAAAGGATTCGACGTGGAAAGAAGCCAGTCCTATGACTTTGGATGACAAACTGCCTCCTGGGCTGGAGGGATCTTTGGGCTCATGGATGAGTGGAACTGCCTTGAGCCTCTGAGACATGTGGGATCTGGGTGAGCCAAGACCCAGAGGGGACAATGTGACCCAAGTCTAAACGGTGCTGTTCATGGGAGAGAGGGAGGTCGGAGCGATCAGGTGGGCGAAGGAGCACACGGACGCCCAGAAGCAGGGGCCACGTCCCAGCTGAAGGCCTTCCCGCGAACGCAGAGTTTCAATGCTCGAGGGATGAACCGCAGCTATGGAGAGAAGGCCGGAGAAGACACGAAGGACAGTTTATGCTCTGGCTTAGCACGAACCACCACGAACCTGGGACGGAGCAGGCAGAGGACAGTGAAGTGTGTGACAAATTGTGCTATTGAAAAATTGCAACCTACTGCTAAGGGTCGGCACTCCCGCCCCGGAACAGACAGGAGAGGGTCCAAAATATTGCTGTAGTGGGTGTTCTCTAAAGCACCTTGAGTCCACCCAGGAGGAGGGGACCAGGGATGTCATCCCCAGAGTTAGCCTCCTGCCCGACCTATTAGAATGTCACATGAGGGACTGTACTGTCCCCTCCCGCCTCCGGGGAAGCTCCCGCGAGAGCTTGAAAAGGCCCCGCAAAGACAAATGCCAGCCTTTGTAAAATACGTGGTTGCCTTTCTGGGTGCCTCCAGCGCCCCCGACTGGGAGACCTGGAAGAATGTGAAGTATTCGGCTCCGTTTCTCAGCAGACACTCTCTCTGTTTGCCTCCTGCGTTGCGCACACCAGGGGCCTCTCTGGCTGATGGCGCTGTCAGCGTCACTTCTGGTCCCTCTCCTGTCCTGATGGTCACACCGGCCGGCACTGAGCGCCAACACTGAGGTTTTCTCCTCTGCGGGGAATGGGGCCACCTCCACTTCCTTTCGCCCCAGAGGCAATGATTTTAGAACTTTGCAAAATCCATTTTCCCTTTGTTAAGATAAAGAGTTAAGACTTAAAAACACACACACCAAAAAAAACCCAAAGCACATGCAGTCTCCAAATACTGGACAGAAAATCCCTGGGGGAAATCTGGGCTCGGTGCCCGTAACTTGGGGCTGGAACCACAGGTCACATAGAGACCAGCGTTAGCCGCCTTGGTTTCTTAGATGTGTTTTCTTGTCTGATAAATGCGTCTTTTACAACGAATTTGAAAGATGAGTCAAAAACCATTATCTGGAAGGTGAAGGGAGTTGAGGAAAGTAATCAAGGCCTGCTCCCCAGCACAGGAGAGCAGACAGGATGCATCGATGGCAGTTCGGAAAAGGCCACTTGCTTGTAATTAATGGCTGACAGGAAGCCAGGGGAGGACAGTCCGATCCATTAACCCCCACACACACGCTCCACCTCCAAGCCGGGACTGTGATTCTACGACTCTGCGTTCCTTTCCTTGTTGTTCTTGTGGGTGCACGAAGCCGAGACTTGGGCTTTACGTTGTGAAGTGGATATATCAGGATGCACCAGCCCTAGCAGCCTCGATGGGCAGTGAGCAGTGTGAACTCGTCAGGAGAAGTGGAGAGAATTAGCATCGGACTTCACACTTCTGCGGGGCCTTTTATCGGGAGGGTCTCCAAGGCCCTGGGAGACGCTTAATTTCTGAAGCTTGCAGAGCCGTGGGGAATGGGCAGGACTGCCAGCAGGGCCTGCGAGGGTGAGCCGAGGTCTTGGGTTCTAGAATATTCCAGTGGAGAGCCGTGATGTCAGGTCCTGGAGCTGGCTCTGAGCTCTGTCCACCCGCCAGCACCCCTCCCTGGGGAGTGTAGGAGCCTGAGCACTTAGAAAAGCCTGGTTTTCTTCCTGTCCCTTCCTGGTTCCTGAAGCTGACATGATGCGAGTTGAAGTGGAAAAGCCCTTACAACCTGCCTCGGGCTCCCTCCAGAGATAAGGATGCGGGCCCAGGACCACTCACATGTGCCCATCCTCCTCTCCTCGTCCTGCCTGTGAGGGGCAGCCCTCCCTCCCCTGTCCCTTTAGAGCTCATCTTGCGTGAGATTCCACTGCAGCCTCCGGCATAAGCAGCTAGCAGGAGTCCGGCCTGTCCCCCTATCTACTGTCTGGTGATGGCAGTGGACACAGCCATCCGGGCCCCTTCGGTCACCTCCTGTAGACCCCCAGGCAATCCACCCTGAAGCCCCGCAGACCTCCATTTCCCTCAAGTTCCCCGAATGTCCCCCCTTGTCTGCCTCCTCCTTCGCTAAAGAAATGGAGCTGCTGGAGTGAGGTCCCCCATGACACGCTCCCTGATACCCTAGCCACTCCTCTGTGGCCTCCATCCTCTCTGTCCACCAACACATGCGCATTCTACCCATCCTGGCTCCCATGGCCTATTCCCTCACCTTCCCCACAGCCCCGGCCTGGGAAGGGGCCTCCAGGCTTACACTGCCTTTCCTCCCGACCCCCCCTCGGCCTCCATGCCCCTGGCACCGCCCACGATGCCCATCGAAAGGCCCCTTCTTGCCACCAGCTCTCCAGGGACCCCTCCTGGGATCTATTGTCTGGTGATGGCAGTGGAGACAGCCCCCCGGGCCGTTTCGGTCACCTCCTGCGGACCCCCAGGAAATCCACCCTGAAGCCCTGCAGACCTCCATTTCCCTCAAGTTCCCTGAATGACCCCCCTTGTCTGCCTCCTCCTTCGCTAAAGAAATGGAGCTGCTGGAGTGAGGTCCCCCATGACACGCTCCCTGATACCCTAGCCACTCCTCTGTGGCCTCCATCCTCTCTGTCCACCAACACATGCGCATTCTACCCATCCTGGCTCCCATGGCCTATTCCCTCACCTTCCCCACAGCCCCGGCCTGGGAAGGGGCCTCCAGGCTTACACTGCCTTTCCTCCCGACCCCCCCTCGGCCTCCATGCCCCTGGCACCGCCCACGATGCCCATCGAAAGGCCCCTTCTTGCCACCAGCTCTCCAGGGACCCCTCCTGGACACTCCCTTTCCTCTAATTTCTGGGAGCACGCATTTCTGTGGGTTTTCTCCTCCCTTCCCTATGCTGCTCTGGCCCTTATTTATGTATTTATTTATTTATGTATTTATGATTTATTTATTGATGCCCTTAACTGAAAAAGGAGCCGAGGTGGACCTGACCATGACTCCCCTCTCTCCTCCTTGCCCGCAACGTAGACATCCCCCATCTCCATACCTCCCTGCACCTCCATCAGCAACCTGCGCCCCCCTGTGGGCCCGCCCTCCGCACGTCCCTGCAGCTCAGCCCCTCCCGGGTCCCAGGCCATTCCTGTTGGACATTCACCCCATTTGCTCTGGCAGCGTCATGAACTCAACACGGGAAGCCAGGTTGGTTATCTCTGCCTCCTCTTCCTCCACGGCCCCTCCTTTTTCTGTTTGAAGGCCCGGGATCCTCTCAGGCACCCAGTTCAGAGATCCGCCTACAGGCATCTTCGACTCTTCCCCGTCCTTGCCGCTCCTTCCCTCCAGCACTGCCCTGGCTTCCTGGTCACGTGGCAGTTTCAGCAGCAATCTCCCCTCCGAGGGCTCCTGGGCACTCGTGCACCTTCTCCAGTGTATCCTCAACATGCACAGCGATATTTATCTCCAGCCACACACACGCTTTTAAAAGTGACGTCCAAGTCTTCATGCTGACATTACAGATCGCCCAACGAGGCCTGTTCTTCCTTTGTGCCCGGCACCCATTGTCATTCCTGGAAGGGATGCCTGGCTTTCCTGTCTCTGTGCCTTCGGACTTGCTGTTCTCATCTCCTGGAATGTCCACGCCTCCTGGAACGCTCTCTTCTGTTTCCTTCAAGGCCCATGCAGAAACCACGTCTTCCATGAAGCCCTCCCCGATCTACCAACCGCTGGGGTCGCTCCCGCCGCTGAACCACCGTAGCACTTTATTTGTACCTTTCTCATGGCACTGACCATAGTCTGCCTTGTATTATAGTTCCTGTGCACTTGTCCTTTGACCGTTCCTAGACTGTAAGCTCGCCGAGGGCAGGGCCTGTGTTTTATTCATGTGTCCATCGCGGCACCAGGAGTGGTGCATAGCACACAGCAGTTGCTCAATAAATGTTTGTTGGATTAAATCCTTAATGCCTGGTGAGGGCTGTATAATTAATGAAGTCGTTTTGCATCTATAGTGTCACAGGAACCTTCAAAATAATTGTGAGTTGGGGAGATGCAGAGATCATTATCCCCATTGTATAGGTCAGGGGTCCTCAAACTACAGCCCGTGGGTCACATGCGGCCCGCCAAAAACATTTATCCAGCCCGCCGGGTGTTTTTGCCACCACTGTGTGCATAGGAATTTGTTCATAGTTTTTTTTAAACTATAGTCCAGCCCTCCAATGATCTGAGGGACAGTGAATTGGCCCCCTGTTTAAAAAGTTTGAGGACCCCTGGTATAGGTCATAAAACTGAGGCAAAACATGACCTGGAAGCCACATAGCTCACTGGCAGAATTTGCACCCAGATCATCCTATCCCCCACTCCAGGGCTTCTCTGTTAGTCTTTGTGGTTGGGTCACTGTATACAGAAAACTAACCCTGAGCACAGTCCTGGGCATCACTTCACAGTCAGGAGCACCTCAGCGTGAACCCCAGTTCTTGTGCCCATCAACACAGACCAATTCTCACTCCCCCTGGGGGAGGACTGAAGCCACTCAGGTCTCACCAGGCTCAGGGGTGGAGCTGGGGGACCTCATAAATCATTCCCGTTGCTGTGTCACAGGGTAGGGGACTGTCTGTGCAGATGGCGGTGCGACCAACCGCTCCTCGGGTTGCTGTTTGATAAATCTCTTCGTGCCTTTGAAGGCTCCCCTTGCAGAACGGATGGAGCAGGAACAGGAATGAACGGTGCCACTCAGATGGGAAGATGGGACTCAGACGCGTGTGCTGCTTCCTGAATGCCCTCCATGGCTTCCCAAATGACAGGGCAGCCTGCCCCGCCCTCCTCTCTCTCACCAATGCTGCTGATGTCATCATCTTTCCCACCTCCATCCTCTATTTCCGCTTTCCCTCTCCCGGGCTCTTCCCCTTGGCATCCACAAGAGCAGGGGAATCCCAGAGAATTTCAGCTCCTCTTGGGTACCCAAGCTCTGACCTGGGGCATGCAGGGAGATGGTAAGGAGGGAGGAGAGTGGGGAGCGCTCTCTGCCATCCTGGCTCCAGGAAGCTAAAAAACTAGGGGCTTGTTTCTAATGGCAGGCCATGCGGACAATGGGAGGTTTCCATGGCTACTGCCCAGAAGGATGTTTTTTTGCCTGGGGGCTTCATGGGGAGGGTAGGAGTTTCATTGCCTATAGTCCAGGTGGTGGGGCCATTTCCACGTGCAGTGAATGGAGCCATCTAGCCCCCCATCAGCCAGCTTGTCGAGAATTGCTCCAGTTGTGTTTCACCAAAATGAATAGCTCCGACCCACAAGGACACCAAAGGTCCCTGGTGGTGTTTTGCTGTCTGCCCCGGCACTTCCTCGGTGCTCCCACCTCCCCTAGGAACAGGGTGGGAACTGGGGCTCCCAAGAGGTTCTAAGAACAGTCAAGAAAGACCCAAATGCTCCAGCCGTGACCACACGCTCCAATATTGAAGAGGCTTCTCCAAAACTGACCCAGCAGCAGCTGTAAGCAGCCAGTCCTGGCAACAATGTAGAACATGAGGGATGACAGCCAAGCGGTGGGGAATCTGCCCCGTGGCCAACTCAGACGCAAGCAGGGCAGGCCCAGACGCCAGTGCCAAACACCAAGGGGAGCCGAGGCAAGAGGCTGGTTCTGCCAAACACCCCTTCAATTGAGTGCACAGAGAGCTTCATTTCTAAAATGAGTTTGTCACAATGGAGCCGCCGGACAGGGTCTGAAGGGATGACCGGTTCATCAGAATAATTAGCGCTTGATGGAAGTGGGATGTTGCAAAGAAGACAACTGGGCTAAGCCGTTAAGCTCAAGGGAAGCCCAGGTTGTGCTTTTCCATTTCAACGTCCAGGGTCGGCGAGAATGTTTCCCGCTGTAATAACCACGGTGGCTGCTTCTCGTCCTCGTGACCATCTCTGGGCAAGAGCGCTGGGAGGGGGACCAGATGACACAGAGCCTGCCACTCAAGAGCCCGGGCGACATGGACGAGCCACTTCTTAATTGCAAAATGGAGAAAATACCTCTTTACTTCCCTCACAGAGTTATGGTGAAAATGCAAATACAGGACAGGGTAGAAGCTGGGTAGGGGTAGGTGGAGAGATCAGTTCTAAAGAGCAAATGAAATGCATGCGCTGGGAGTTTTCCAGATTCTGCTCAATGCAATTGCCCAGCTTAACTTTCCTGCGCCCCTGGGAGAAAATTCCAAGCATCTTATTGGATTTTACCAGGTCTTGAGCCTTCTAGCTCACTACATTCTAGCCACACAGACCTTTTTGCTCCTCCTAGAACTTTCCAGACTCATTCCAGGCCCAGGGCCTTTGCACTGGCTGTTCCCTGTGCATGGAAAGCTCCTTCCCCATCTCCTCATCTTTCAGGTCTCAGACTGAATGTCACCCCTGGGAGTCGGTCCCAGGTCACCCCCAGCTAATCACGCTCTGTTCCACATCACAGTATCCTGCTAGGTGGCCTTCACAAACTACCTGAATTGCCTCATTTATATTTTGTAGCTCTCAACCCTGAGAAACTTCATCAAAGAGCCCAGTGCCCAGGCCACAATGGGGACACGTTGAAACAATACCTCTGGAAACTGATCAAGGACATCAGTATTTTTTTTTAAAGCACAGCCAGGATATCATGGAAAACACTGACATGGATGCTCCCTGATTTCTTGTCTGTCTGCCTTCTGGGCTGTTCAGTGGGGACCTGCTTTCCACAGCGGTACCCTGTGCCCTGGGTGGCAGGAGGGACCAGCCTCCTGGACGTGGCTAATGTCTTTGCTTGGGGTACGCGGTTTGCCAACCACTGGCATAGGCCATTCAGGGCAGCTCCACTTTCTCCTGGTCTTTCCCAGGGACAATGGACAGGACGTGGCTAATGTCTTTGCTTGGGGTGCTGGCCACAGGCTGGCAATGGCACCACTCCCCGGCACTCTCAGGAGGCACGGACCAGCTCTGCACTGTCTCAGACTCGGCCCCTGCAGCCCAGGTGGGAGGCCAGTGTGTGACTCCTGTGGCTGAGCTGGTGGAAGCAGATTTTCCAGCTGCCCTTTGACCTACTCAGAGAGACTCAGGACTCCGGCCCTGGATGGGAGGGTCCTCCCCGGCCCGAGCAGGCATTAGAACCTCAGCCCCACCCCGAAGACTGCGGACTGCACTGAGCCACTGCGAGAACCTTTTTTATTCAATTACAGTTGACATTCAGTATTATTTGGTTTTAGTGTCACATGTACAGCGTAGTGGTTAGACAACCATATACTTTGCAACGTGTTCTCTCCCGATAATTCAAGTACTCACCTAGCACCTCACACAGTATCTTAGGGAAGTCACGACGGCAATGGGGAACGATGGCCTTGAATGGCACCTGCGAGGCACAGGTGACG